GTCAGATTGGTGAAGTTGTATCTGTGCTTTGTTTGTAAAGGAGATTATCCCTAAGGAAACCAGCCTGGAAGCAAAGGCGCAAAGGGCTCTGCGATGTGTCTCGTTTATCCTCCACTGGCTCAGAAAAAAGAAAACAGCATGTGTCTGTGAAAGCCACCAAAGTGGGAGAAGACACATGCGCACAAGTGATAAAGGGGGAGACTTTTTGTATTCCTGTACAGTAGTTGCAACTTGTCCTTAAAGTATGAAATGATTTCCAACCAAAATATTTAAAACATTTAAAAATATCTGCCCTTTATTTATAGACTTTGGCTCTTCGTCTGGAGCCAGTTTGGAATGAACATTTTTATAATATTTTCCTGTGTTTGGTGACGTGTGCCCGCCCGCCACCTGTTGTTGAATGTGACAGCAGTTAGTGGCAAATAAATGGGTCCTTCTGCGGGTCTTCAGGGTCTGCAACTGAAATTTTTGGAGAACTGTTTACTATATTGATCACTTAAAGCTTTTGGAAGTATGTGTTAGCTACAGGGCCTGCTACTGTCTTTAGTATTTTTATGACATCTTTTCAATAAATTTGGGGTTATTTTAAATAGTTTAATTATTGTCCCTGATTAGTAACTTTATCTTATTTTAAAATTAAGAAAGATTTCCATTATTTAGCCGTAACAGGAGTTCATCATTTGTTACCTAGTGTTTATTGAACACCTGCTGTGTGCCAGCCCCTTTTATAGGCACCGAACAAAACCCAGCTCTTGCCCTCTTGGATCTGACATTTCTGTGGGAGGACAGGCAGAGGAAAGGAAACGAGTGTTACATGGTAACATTAGAGAAAAATCAGAGAAGGGGATTCGAGAGTGCTGAGAGCAGATGCGTTGCAATTGACATGAATTTTCAATAGTGTGGGTTAGAAGGATTTTTCCAGGACACATTTGAGCAGTGATCTGAAGATGGGACGGGTGATGCCTGGAGAGAGAGTGTCATGGATGGGCTTGTCAGGCAGAGTAGGTATAAAGGTCCTGAGGCAAGGGTAGACCTGGCCTATAAACACTTTAATGAGTTAGTAAGAAGGGGGCCATGAGGACCAAAGATTATGACACTTAAAAAAACTTGGAGTATTTTCTTGCACATGGTCCCTACTGGAGTAGCTGTCTGTCATCTCTCTCTTCCCCCTCCTCTCCACCTTCAAATAAACCATCTTCTAAAAACAAAACAAAATAAAACTTTGGCTTTTGCTGGGCATGGTGGCACACACGTGCAATCCCAGCATGCACCTGTAATCCCAGCACATGGCAGGTTGAGGCCAGAGGAGTAGGGGTTCAAGATCAGACTGGCTGCATAGCAAGTTCAGTGCCAACGTGGACCACATAGGTTGAGACTACCTTGTCTCAGAAACCAAAATCAGCTACTCTGTGTGAGAAGCCGCTGGGGAATGGCGGGAGCTGATAGTACACTGTATGGATTGTGTGTTGGGATCATTCTTGCTGCTTTGATGAGACGGAAACGGAATGGTGTGAAGCCCCAAGTTGGGAGGTCAGTTCTCAACTGTGCTAAAAACCCATGTGAGAGATGATACAGGCTCTCACTATAGCGGTTACTGTGGAGGTGGGGAGAGGTGGCCAGATTCTGGACATATTTTGTAGATGGTCACTAAGTACATACATTGGAGGGAAAAAATAAGAAATTGAACGTTAGAGGTCAAGGGAGAGAGGAGCCAATAAAAGAGCCTAGGAAAGTGCTGCTAGTGAGATAGGGTGAAATCAGACGCCTGGGAGCCAGGGAAGGAAGCATATCAGCGTGATGAGCCCTGCCAGGCGCTGCTGATGGCTTCAGAAGGATGAGAACCGAGTGGTAGTGGATTTAGCAGTCTGTGGGTGATTGGCTGGTCACCTTCACGTTTCCGTGGAGTGGAGTAAAAGTCTGATTGGAGTGAGCACAGTGTGAGTGGAAGCACAGCTCGCCTGCAGGGCGAATGCATTTGTGACATTTTGCCACAAGGGGAATCAAAAGAATTGACCTTTCCCTAGAGGGATGTGTGGGGTTAAACGATGTTGTGGTGGTTTGTTTTGCGATAACGGGACAGGAGTCTGCCAGGGACTTTGCTTTGTGGGAAGAAGGAGTGATGATGTGGAAGAGGAAGTGAGCTTACTAGAGCAGTGACCTTGTGTCTGAGTAGGGGCCTAACCTCTAACACGGTGGTGGTGCAGTTAGACTTCCGTGTGTCCCTGGAGTTAGATACTCAGGAGCCAACAGCTGCCATGAGAGGTTCAGGACTTCTGTCCTGACTGCTTGTATAGGAATCACGGTCAGTGTGTAAAGTGGGGCAGATCCTACGTGGCCTTTGATTTCTTTTTCTCCTGCTGCTTTTCGTGAAATGACCTATCAAGAGTCCTGGGAATCCACAGGACAGTTATAAAACTGCTTATCAAAATTTTCAGGCAGAAAATTGCCAGTTAGTTTAACTGTCTACTTCGAATAAATTTGGAGAGACTCCTGAACATCTTTTGGGAGTCTATTTGGGATTTTTTTTTCTCATTGATCTTCAAGCCAAAGAACATAAGTGATTCAAAGTTCTTTAGGATTTACCCAGCAGAATTTGCATGCTAAGCACAGGAAAATCAGAGACTCAAGGAGGTGTAGCTGACTGTCTAGCACAGTCTGGGATCCGAGTCTGCGTCATTCTAATTTATATAATTTATAATTTAGTTTTGAAAACCAGTTTTAGTACATTTATGCATATACATTTAAATTCACCCCTTTGACAATTTAAGTGACTTATTCTACATCGGAGGCAAGTACAACATCACATAACAATATATGTTACAATATACGACTAAAATGTCAGGGTCAGAATGGGAATTTTGTCTAAATTGTTACCTCAATCCCTGAAAATTACATTGCATATTGTAATTGTAATGTACCGAAATCGTTTCACAGCATTTGTTCTTGACTGAATTTATATTAAAATGAAAAACTGTAAAGCTGGATTGATTATATAGTATTTTATAGTTCTGGTAGTTGACGGTATCAGTAGATTACATTACTGTTACAGAATGGGTGGAGAGCGGCCTGGTGGCACACGCCTGCGGTCCCAGCACTCTGGAGGCTGAAGCAGGATTGCCGCGACTTCGAGGCCAGCCGGGTCTACATAGTGACTTCACGTCCAGCCTGAAGTGCATAGTGATATCCTGTCTCAAAAAAAGCAAAACTGAAAAATAAAACAAAATGGGTGGGGACCCTGGTACTCTAGCTGGCTCTTTCCAGTCTGCTTCTTTGTCGCAACATTTACCTGCACCTGGCAGTTCAGAAGTGGTAAGACCAGATGATCTGCATCCAAAATGCATATAAAATTTCTGTGAAACAGTGAGAAAAGGGCAAACAGCTCGGGAGGAAAATGAGGAAAAGGTACATGTAAGCATTTCATCAAAGAGGAAGCACGAGTTAGCCAACAAGTAGGAAGGCGTGCTCAGCTTTAGTAATCAACAGGAAAATGCAAAGGAGGACTGCAGTTAAATGCCATCTTCTACCCTAAAATTAACAAATTGGGGTTACTAAATGTTGGCGAGAATGTGGATTAGCATGGACTGACTATTGCTGGTGGAGTTATAAATTGCCAAACACACTTTGGAGGAAATAAAAATTTGTATCATCAGGAAAAATTGAATATGACACATGCTTCTCGACTCAAGCACGTACTTCTGTGAAACTCAGGATGTGTGAGTCAAGAGACACTCTCCTGAATTGGGTGTGGTGGCGCACGCCTGGGATCCCAGCACTCAGGAGGCTGAGGCAGGAGGATTGCTGCAAGTTTGAGGCCAGCCTGAGCTACACAGTGAGTTCAAGGCCAGCCTGAACTGCATAGTGAGACCCTGTCTCAAAAAGACAAACAAAAAAAGAAAAAAAGACACTTTGCTAGCATAAATATTTATAATGGAAAAACAAAAGTATGATCTCTTGATGGGGATAAATAATTAAAATATGATACATTTATACACACAGTATTCTTCTACAGCCAGAATGGATGCCCTGCACCCACAGGCGGCAATGTGGATGAATCTCAGGAACATAGTATCCAATGAAAATGTCTAATCTTTTTTTTTTTTTTTTTTTTTTTTTTTTGATTTTTTTGAGACAGGGTCTTGCTATGCAGTTCAGGCTGGCCTTGAGCTCACTTTGTAGCCCAGGCTGATCTCGAATTCCCAACGATCCTACTGCTTCAGCCTCCCAAGTGCTGGGATTACAGGCGTGCGCCACCATGCCCGGCTGAAAATGTCTAATCTTATAAGAGGAGCTGTTTGATAGAATTGTCTGCAATTACAAACAAGTGAAGTGGCCCACAGTGTTGTTGAGAGATGTATGATATATTTTTCTTAAAAAGTGATAGAAATGGATTGCAGAGGTGGAGGGATGAGGGGTGACCGGCATGGGGTGGCGGAGGAGAGATGAGTAGAACAGTATCTCTAACTTACACTTAGTTCTTGAGTCAAGTGATGGGTACCTGCGTGTTTTGCTCCTATTGTAATCAAGCATGTAACAGATAATTGTATGTAGCGGCTAATGTATTTAGAAATAACAAAGCCATACTCTGATGTCGCGGTTTGGAAGACCCGGCCTCATTTCTCCCTCTTCCGCCATTGCCAGTTGAATTCCTGAAATACTGTGGCTCTCAGTATTTCAGTATTGAGACCGTCCATCTCATTAAGCTGCTATGTGTCTGCCTCCTGGTCATTCAGTTGTAACTCAGTTGTTTTCTGAGACAAGGCCTCAGTGTGAAGTTCAGGCTGGCCTCAAATTCCAGGTGATCCTCCTGCCTCAGCCTCCTGAGTGCTAGGAGTACAGGCATGTGCCACCCCACCAGGCGAATTTCACTGATTTTAGTAACTGATTTTATCTATCTTAAAGTGTTCTTATGGGGATACAGTCATTAGCAAATGAATGACCCATGATGCTGAGACTTCTTATGTTCTGAACGTTAACTAAGTTTTCTTTTTCCTTTCGCACAGGAGTAGTTCTTCTCCAAGCCTGCTTCAGGAAGAAAGTGCCTGCCATTCCTGTGGTTTCTTACGCAGGTTCATGCCATCCCATAACACAGACTCAGGTCAGTTTGGGGATTTTTTTAACCCGCTGAAGAAGAGCCAGGACAGAATCCTGACTGTCTTAGCTCCCTGCGTGGCTGAGGAGGACTCGCCTACTGAGCTGTGACTCTGGTCACCTGGGCGTCCTGCTTTAGGACGGACAGCTGGGAGAACCGGGGAAGGTCACTTCCTCTGATGGCTTTTAATTTCTACACCAAAAAAAAAGATACTGGAATAAATTATCTTCAGTTTCAATTTTGGCTTTAAATCACTGTGACTTTTATTGTAGGTACCCAAAAAGCATAAAAATCCTGTTTTTAAAGCATTAGTTTTACATTGTCTTTTTTGTGATAGAGTAATTTGTTGTAAATATCCTGACCTGTGACTGCAGGTCAGGATATCCATCATTTGTTGTAAATATCCTGACCTGTGACTGTAGTGAATATCTTTAACCTACTAAATTTTATAGCCCAAGTGTCGGAGCTTGCCTGTGGTGCCATGGCTGGCTGGGGGCCGGGGCTGGGGCCGGGGCTGGAGCCGGGGCTGGGGCTGGGGCTGGGGCCGGGGCCGGGGCTCACTACCATTACCAAAGTCAAGAGAAAAGAGCGTGCTGGGTTTTGCCAGCCCAGGAAAAGATCAGAATTCAAACCTCAGAGTAAAACTTTTAGTGAATGTGCTTACCTTTCATAAATAAAAAAAGTTAAGTCAAACAATAGTGATTTGAGGATTGTCTGGAGTTGTTTCTAAAGCACTGGTTGGGAATTCTCTGGTCTGTGGTATGGATATTACAGGTACCGTCTGTGACTCATTGAGGTGATAAATGGCCATGTAAAGTGGATAAAACGGACCGGAGGGTCTGTGGCTGCCCCGGTGCGTTCATCTTACTGTTGCACCCCATTTGGGGTTATTGAAAAGTTTTAGTTTTTAGCTCAGGTTCTTAGTTCTTCAGTGATGTCCTTCAGCTTTAGAGAGGGTCCCTTTCGCCATGTTATTTCCATAGTGAATGCAGCTGACTCAGTTAAATTAGCTTGCCCAAAAGGGGAGGTGATCAGACTTTGGAGCGTGGGCCAGGGACACTTGCGATGGAGGACAGAGGAGAGCTGGGCGGCACATGCAGAGTCAGTTTCTGGTCTTCTCTGTCTGGTATGGAGATATCATCGTGTTTCTGTGCTGTCATCCTGTTTCCGTGCTTTGTGATGGAAGGCATGATTTCCCCTGCCCCCAAGATTTGGGTCTTGTAATTCAGATTCCCAGGAGAGGCTAACACTTGCATACCACAACCCACATTGCTCAGAACAGGCTCCATTTCTCAGTCAGATCCCCTGGAACAGGTGTGGGTTAGCGGAGGTTCCTATAAAGACTTAACATTGGCTGCTGTTTGGAAGCCTGCTCTATGGAAAAGACTGACTTACTCTTAATGAAAATTCAGGTAACTAATAATCGTGTATAGTACTTCTTCCAGGTGCATTTGCATTTTAATTGAGATAAAAAAATTGAGATAAAACTATTTTTTAAACCGTTAGATTTAATCACAGCTCAGCTGCAAAGTATGATTTTCAATAAATCACGTTTTCTCAGTTTTTACCTCAGTTTACTAAAATCCTCGCCTTGCCACCTATCAGTGGTGTTTCCTTCTACCTTTAGAGACTTTGTGAGAGAGGGTCTCCTTGTGTTGACCAGGGTGGTCTTGAACTGCTAGGCTCAAGCAGTGTTTCAGTAGCCGGGACCACAGGCATGAGCTACTGCACGCAGCTAAGCAATGCATCTTTACCTCTCATTAAAAAAAAACATCAGCCCAACCCTCATAATAATGAACATCTGTAGCAAAGAATCTGAGTGCAGCCTGTTGGGGTCCTCTGGCCCAGGTCGCCCCACGTATGGTCTGGTGCTGCCGTCTCACCCTCGGGCCGTGGGGAGAAGAGGCGTGGGCCCTTGTTTCCTGTGCCGACTGTGTGTGGGGGCATCCTGGGTCCCTCATTCCAGGAGCTGAGTCTCCAGGGCAGTGCCCGCGTGGCAGCGGCTGCAGTTACTGCCTCAGGCTGACAAGGATAGGGTTGCGAGATGGAAGGCAGAGCTTTACTCTTCTGATCTGGAAACTGGCCCGCCAAGCGCTGGCTTCTTTCCATGTTCTTCCCGTCAGGAGGCAGCCACAAGACGCAGCCCACCCCCGAGGGCTTACACAAGCGAGTGAACCCCAGGGGTGGGCAGCTGCTGCCGTGTACAGTAACGTGTTTACTAACGATGCGTATGTTATTTAATGTGGGAAATTCTAAACGGGTTTGTCACTCATATACATTGTAGTTCTGCAAACAGCAAATGCCCAGTTGGAGGGGGAGGGGCAGCTCAGAAGGAGAGCCCTTCCCACACCTGCAGGTAGGTGATGTGGCTCATGTCAAGTGCCGAGGTCTCCAGAGCTGGGGAACCAATGGTGAAACTCTCAGCCCAAGGCAGAAGATCTTACAGGCAATGCAACGGGGAGGGTCTCACTCTGGGTATGATGCCCAGGGTTCACAGACAGGAAAGTTAAAAGTACTGGTGTTCAGGGCCAGGAAAGAAGGGCACATAGTAATAAACATACATCCATTTATGAAATAGCATAGGAACAATACAAACATTACAGAGTTATGGATAGATTAGTAGAAAAATATCAATGGCTGCTATAATATCTTCAAAGTGGTTTTTCAGGAAGACAGAGATACGCAAGAAGGATCTAACAAGTAGCTACAGCCTAAGGGTTGTGAAAAATAGCATATTACCTCCTCACCAGTGACTCCTTTCACTGAGGTATGACGGCTGGAAGGAAGGCCAGGATTGAAAAGAAGGACGGAGAGACTTGCACCTGTGTCTAGCAACAGGCTGTTTTCTTGTTCCTCCATAGTCATGATTACCCGGGGCTCCTCCATGGAGATGACAGTCTGGCCAGAGGGAGACGGCAGAGTATGCCCCGGGCCCTCTCATTCCTGTTGGACTAACTGGTAGGATGGGTCTGAGCTCTGGGGCCTCAGCTTCAAAGGGCAGACCGATGTCCAGTGGTCACCTTTGCATTCAGGGCATGGCCCAGGGGGCCTCTTAGGGCAGTTCCTCCTGAGGTGGCCTGGCTTTTAACAGTGGTCAGTGGTGTTTAAATAGTTATTTGTCAGTTACTGTAGACAGAATGTACATGTTTATAGACAGTTCTTGCTAGGTTTGGAAGTTGTGTCAGTCAGCTTTCCGTTGCTATAACTAACACCTGAAACAAATCAACTTAGAAAGAAAAAGGAGCTGTTTTGGTTCATGGTTTCAGAGGCCTCCGTCCCCGACCGTTGGCCCTGTTGCTTGGGGGCTTGTGGCAGGTGGGCCCAGGCACACAGGAAGCTGTTCCTTATGGCCACTGGCAGCAGAAAGAGGAAAAGGAAGGTCTGGGGGCCCAGAGTCCCCTTCCAGGGCACACCCAGTACCCTGACTTCTTCTGGTAGCCTCACCTCCTAAAACATCCACTAACAGGCCTTGGGGGACAGTCAAGATTCAAACCGCAGCACAGTAGGCTGTGTGGAGGTGAATGTCAATCATTAGGGTTTTTCTGCAGTGTACCTTTGTATTTACGGCATTAACAGGATTTAATTGGGTAAACTATATGTGATTCTAAGACTTGCTTGCTACACAGGATGGACTGAAAGTGCATTCTTGTTTTGGAACGAAGGACAGTATGTTCTCTTAGAAAAAAAATGTTGCTTTGATTATAGCAAAGGAGAGAGTAGAGGCACCATCCCTTGTATTGAGCTGATAGTCCAGCATGGTGGTGCACGCCTGTAATCCCAGCACTCTGGAGGCTGAGGCAGGAGGATCACCTCGATATTCGAGGCCAGCTTGGGCTTCATAATGAGCTGAAGGCCAGCCTGCGCTACAAAGAGAGACCCTGTCTCAAAAAACAAAACCAAGTCTTGTGTGGAGCTGAGATTTTTGTGTGTGAATTACCTTGTTTTAATTATGAAAACTTTGGGGACTGAATAGATTCGTGGCTACATTTTAGGCTTTAGATTCAATGACAAAAATAGTGTTACATACAGTTGAGGAAAAACATCAACAAGAAATGATGGTCTGTGGAGAATGTCTTCTTTCTAGAAACTTCTATTGAGAGTTTCAAAAGTTCAGGGAAAAAAAAAAAGGGGGGGTGCTGGGGATTTAGCTCAGTGGCAAAAGCGCCTGCCTGGCAAGCGCAAGGTCATGAGTTCGGTTCCCGGTACCGGAGAAAAACCAAAAAAAAACCAAAAAAAAACAAAAAAAAAACCACAAAAACAAAAGTTCAGGGAAGGGGACTGAACTCAGTGGTAGTGTAGAGGTTTGGCCTCATGAGGCCCTGGGTTCAATTCCCAGCACCTGCTTCCCAAAGAGAAAATAACCAAGTTCAGGAAAAGGAACTCAAGAAAATATAAATTAGCTCATGAATATAAATAGTTAATGTGAAGTTTAAATTGCAAGACATAAAATGTTCTCATCAGAAAAAAGTTGTGAAATAAAATAGCATTACTAAATAGAGTATTAGGATTTTAAATTTTAATCCAGTTTTCCTTAATTTGAAGGAATGATAATGACATTTGGGATGGGGCTGGGGGTAGAGGGACATACACAGAGTTAGAGTACATGCCCAGCATACCCAAAGCCCAGTTCTATCTCTGGCACTGCCAAAAAGAAGAAAAAAGACTCAGAAATGCTAAAAATTTTAATCCTCACTTTATCCCCTGCTGTGAACCATTGCATGTAATTTTCTTTTTTCTGCAGATTTTTGGTTTGTTGAATAGGAGTTTGTATGCTCACATCATTGAATTGATTTTCAACCGGAGTATCCCTTAGTTGGCATTTGTTTTGGGGAAGAATGTTATGGTGACCTGTAGCAACAGTGTGAGAAAAACTTGTGCAGGCTGCTGACAGTAGACATGAGGGGGGAACTGTAATGTGGTGTCTTTCGGCAGGGCCTCGACTTTATCATGGTGTTGCTGCTTGTAGCTGTTTGCCTGAGGACAGAGGTTCTGAGTCTGTCTTCTTT